GGCCGCAGGCGGAGGCATTGTCTGCAGTCCTCTGTCCCGGCGAGAGGCGGGAGTCCGGGCGCCGCTGCCGGGCGGGGCCTCCCCACCGGTTCCTGTGCCGTTGGGATCTCTGTTTATTGTCGTAATTTTCGTTACTGAGGCCTTTTTTTCCCCCCTTCCCTCCCCCTTCTTCTCGACTAACTTGAAGGCCCGGAAGTACCGCCCCCGGGCGCTCCTGAGTGGTGGGTTGGCCCCGTCGCCCGCTGGGGATAGGCTGCGGATGCCGTCAGCGGCTGGGTACGTCACTTCCGCTACCGAGTGTGTGGGCAGGGGAGACCTTGGCCGCAGGGGGGAGGCCACCCCCCACCCCCGGCCGTTACTGGGGCTGCGTGCGGGGGTCACTTGTCCTGCCCCATCTCGGGCACCGAGGAGCACTGACCTGCGGTGGGGAGCGGTGGCCGAAGGAACTTGTGTCGGGGTGGGCTGGGAGATGCGGTGGGCAGGACTGCAGGCGGCTGTGGGAAGCAGGGAGGGTGTTAGATACGGGGTGGGCCGGCAGGACACGGTACCGCGTAGGAAGAGTGAATCTCAGGAACGACGAGGCAGAAGTTGAAGAAAATACCTTATGAAACGTCCCTCCTTTGGCAGCTAAACATGTTGTCGGTAAACAGCAGAGTAAGGGGTGGGGTTGTACAAAACTAAGCTTGGAACACTCGTCAGTATATGCTGTATAATCGAAACTAAGCACTTGTGTTATGTTTCAGTACTGTTAGCACAGTGTAGAATCTGTCCTAGGTAAGTGGCAATGTGCTTATGGGGTCTTTCTTATGGCACAGCATAGTCAGTTTTAGAGAAGGACACTATGCAATCAAATTATGTTTTTATGATTTATTTGTTGTAGGAGTGGAAACTCAAGGTTATGATAATCCTCATTGATAGATTTGCCTTTTCTGTGTTCTTTATGCTCTCTAATTGTACTACTTTGCGCAGACGGTTTTCTAACTGTAATATGAGTCTTAACTGACATGGAAAAATTGCTTCCATTAACAACATACCTAGAAATCCTACAGGATGATGCTTAATAAAAATGTGTCAAATTTAATCCATGACAGAATTTTTGGGGAAATGAAGCTGTCCTTTCAAAAGCAATATTATTTCTTTAACTTATTTAAACAACATTTAGGGAATGGGACATCCTCTTCCTGGGCTCTCCAAGCAGGTATCAGCATCTCCAGCTGCCAGGGGAGTTCACCAGACTAGTTACCAGCATGGCTCCTGTTGTCGCATTTGACATGTTCCGTTCACAGCAACATTCGGGCATTAAATAGCCTGAAGTTACCCAAGGTGTTATTTACAGCATGACTTCAAACTTGCTGTGGTCTTTCCAGCGTAGTCAGCCTGCACTATGAGATTTAGTAGATTTTTTTTGCCCTGTCCCAGCTGGCTTTGTGAAGAGGGACTTGCTAAGTAGCTGTATGGTGAGATCTGTAATGTTAAGTTGTTGACGGTGACTTTTTTTTCACTGAGCTTCCCAACAAGTGATACTTTGTAGGTCTTAAATGCAACCTCCATTCCCACAGGTCATGCCAGGAAGTTCTTTTGCATGCTAAGACTGGAGACTTGGCAAAAGGAAGCTCAGATAAAACATCAAATCACTTTGTTTTTCTACTCCTACAAGCTGTATACTTATGTCACTTTCCTTTTGAAAATGCTTTCTGTATTTTCCTCTGTTGTCAGTCAGGGAAAACAGCGGTTCATTCACGAAATGGTGAAAGGCTCTTAGGATGTAAAAAGGGCAATAGATGTTTAGTTCTGATGCCAATTTGTAACGTAGCACAGCGTTTTTGAAAACATTCTTGGGCACTAACTGCATGTGCAACTCATGCACAACTGAAACACTACTCAGGTGAATGAATAGTACACATTGGTCTATTCCTAAGTAAGATTACATTCCTGTTTGAGGTGGGAACAAATAACCAAAACGATGGTTTCCTTTGAGAGGTGCACTGAGGCCTTGGTACTGTTTGAAGCTGCAGCTAAGCCCAAGTGTGCTCCCATACCTCTTTCATCTGCCAGTGACTGACAGATGTGTATTCCAAAAGGATTTGTGAACACCTGGTAACATTGTAGTGTAGTCACTTTCCTTGCTACAACATATTCTCTACTTTCATGGAGGTTTTTGCCAGCACTGTGCAGTGCTGTCATGCACACAGCACTTACGTGCAGGTTTAATCCTAACGTTGTACAGGAGGATGCTAGGATTTGCATTACTGTGGTTCTATGTTCATGTTAGAAATAATTAATTATGATCACATAACTTCACCTTTCCAGAGGAGATGTGCTTTGTTCAGCGCATGAGTGGGCAATAGTAACTTCTAACTCCTGTCAAGCCGTGGTTTCCGGATATTTATATTCCAGCTGTAACTGCATGGTTAGAAAAACAAGTCCAAATCAAACCTACTAATTGCAAATGTGGCATAACAGTAAAATTTTCTAATTATGTAAACCCAGAACACTTTATGTTAAAGCAGTTAAGTGTAAATGGGATAGAGATTTTTGTAAAAAATACTGGCATTTCCGATTGAGACACTAGATTAATACCACCGATTGTCACCAATAACATATTCATCTTGTGGTGTGTGAAAAATGCCCGGGTCACACGCACGTAGTGCTCACACATCCCTGTCAAGGCACGTGGCCTTTGGTACTGCTTGTGCTTGGAGTTAAAGCCCATCTCTAAATCTGTGTAGCGTTGTGCACTGAGCCTGCTCGTACTCCTTTTCTCCTCTTTGTAAGATTTGCCAGTTCAAACAAGTGTTTTGGTGTGGTTTACACTTACTCTAGTGTATTGCTGCTAAATGGACTAGCACGGCCAGAGAGGTATTAGATTTTAAATGTTTGGGCATAAGCAGGGGATTCTTAAGAGGGTGCCTGGACTTCAGCTGGCAAGCGTTACATTCTGATGAAAGAGGTTTTGCTTTCTTGGTCAGTGCCTATTTTCATTGCAGGTGAACTTGCTTGGCACAAAGTTCAAAAAAAACCCCAACAAACCAAGTCAAAACTCTCTAATCTGTTTAGTCCTAATCTTCATACAGGTTTCTAATTTACAGCGTTGACTTGTCTGTTACAGTTAATTTTTTCCACTGAATTTTCTAAAGTGGGATTTAAGCTCTAGAGTAAAATAGTGTTTTCCGTTAACAAGCTGTTTACAAATTTACAACTGCCAAATGATCTTTTCACGGATGCGCTGCAGCATTGTGGACCTCAGGTAGAGCTATCCATTTATCTCCCCACTGCGTATCATAGGTGTCAGTAAAGCACAGTTTGTGGAGGAGATATTCCTCCTATAAACCCACTTTCAACTTTAGGTGGTTTGTTCTGTGCTGCAAAGTGGACAAAATAACTGGGAGAATAAAGCATTTGTCTTGTAGGAGCACACTGAGAGGAAATGGGTCTTTTGTTATTTCCACAAAGACGTGTTTTGTTCCTTCAGCAGAGTAACGAATAAAAATCATACCTGTCACCTGAGCTGTTTTGTTCTCTTTTGCAGGTTGGAGAATAGCTTCAGAGGGCTTATGACATTCCACTGTGGGCTATAAGCAAGAACATGTACATTCCTGAGAGTTTTTCTTCCCCGTGCATTTTTAGGGCCGTTTGAGAGCTTTTAAGCTGACAGGTGGCTCAAGAAAAGCACACAAAGCATACTTCAGCATGCTAGAGCCCACTGAGATTCTCCTGCTGCCACTTCTCTTGGACACAAGTTAGGAGCAAGGCTCTAGCAAGTTAAGTGCTTTCTTAATACAAAGGAAGGTGCGATCCAAAACTGAATACAGAAGAGGAAAAGATTTTAAATCACTGACCCTCTTGTGGAAAGAGGTGATGAGGCATGCATGTAGTAGCATGTGATGACAGTGCAGGGGCAGTTGGGTGAAGCGAGGGGAAGCGATATGAAGGACAGCGAAGCTGGCATCAGTCACGCTGCTCCCTTTCCCCCGCTCCAGTCCCTGCTGGTTAAACAAAAAACCCCCGGAACGAACCAGCTCGAGTCCGTAAATCTGCATGTAGTCATGTGGGCTGCTGGGTGTGCAGGTGCTCCAGGCAGGGCTGGAGATGGAGACGGGAACTCGCTCACTGAACGAGTCCGTGGGAGTCGGGAAGCATGGCCCCAGCACAGGGGGTGCTGCTGAAATCGTGGGGTGCCACTGTGAGGAGCTGGGGTTAGTGCCGGTACCCTGAGGGAGCCCCATCGTGCAGTGAAAGCTGGGGGCAGGCTGAAGCCTCGGCCCTGGGCTGGGGTAGGCAGCTGCAGGGCAGCAGTTTGGTGGTGAATGCCTTCATCTTTGCTGCTGCTCTGGGAAAGCTGGGCAGTTCCACAACTGCAGTGTTATTTTCTTGGGGCTTTTAAAACGCAAACACGTAGCGACTGGAAAAATAGTGCTCTGAATCAGGCTTTCAACAAGGAAAGCAAGTTAACCACGTATTTCTTAAAAGCTCAAAGTCTCATCGTAGGCTGTTTACTGCTGAAGGGGAGAAGTTGGAGGTAGGTAACCCTGAACCTCCTGTGCTGTACTGAGGCATGCTGTCATCAGCAGGGTGACTTCAGTAGCAGGGATGTATGCAGTAGCAGATTCACCTGAAGACGAGAACATGCCTAATTGGTAGTGGCTGTGCCAGGAGCATAATTTCTCAAGCATGCCATGCATTAAGCTTGTGTGTGTGCCAGAAAACCATGCACGGTATGCAGCAGGCCTCCAAAGAGGCCTGGCAGATCCTGTGCCATAAAAGGACATTGCAATTTAGGTGGTGCTGTTTTTAGAAACGATTAGAAATAACCCACAAGTTAGTAACTCCCAAAACTGCAGGATTGCTATAAAACAGAACACTAATTGGCTAAACTTTGCATGAATACACAGTAAAAACAAAAAAAAGCAGAAGGTAACTTGAACTTCCAAAAGAAGCTCATTTGGAGTTTTTATGCTGAACCCTTCTAGAATTAAAGTGAATGAAACCTGATATCTGAGTGATATAACATCAGTAAAATTGCTTTTCTGCAGTAGTTTAGATGATGGGATACCTGATGATCTTTCATAAGGTATATTTGTTGCAGAATGAGGTTTTCTTAATGTCTGATGCGCACTTCATTATCTCAAGCTAGACTGCCGTATATAACCACAGGATAGCATTTGGAAGTAAGTAAGAATGTTTTTTTCTTTTTTTTTTTTTTTTTTTTATTCTAAGTGACAGGCCATCCAGACCTGTCTTAGATGAAAGGCTCTTGTTTCAGGAAGTTGAAGTGGGACAGATTCTTATGGATTCAGGACCTGCAAGTACTGAACAGGAAGATTTGGTAGTGGCAGTAGAAAGTGACGTAGAATTTCCAATAACAGAACTTGATTGGGAAGTCTTAATGAAAACAAAAATAAAAGCTGTTTGATATATCTCAGGTTGGTTAGGTTTATAACTGACTTTTGCCTAAAGTGGTGAAATGCAACAAATCAGTTTCTAGGTTTATGACAATACTTGCATCCTTCAAGCTTAATTTTAAAAATTCAGAAGTATTGTCTTACATATTTTACACATTTTACATAAGCTTTTTGTGTGGTAACACCTATTCTGTTTTCTAAAGCACTTAAAACCTTTTCAGTACATCATAGAATCATCAGCTGCATCTTAAATTTCCTTCTGAAACATCTGGGACTTCATTAGCTGCATGGAATCACTAACTAACAAACTGAAGGTGCTGAGTTGTCTCTCTGCAGCTAGACTCACTGGGCAGGCCTCAGCAGGTTGCCTCCCTCATCGAGAAATGAGTGCTTTGCATGCTCAGCTGTTGAAGGTTTGGATGCAGGAACATGGAGCTGAAAGGACTGTCAGCTTCGCTACTGAATAGCTGCTTGACAGTAGGACCTCTGCCTGAGCTAATTCAAAAGGACGCAATGTGTGCCAGTGCTTCCAAATGGTCTGACTTTGTCCCAGTGCTACTGTTCTAATTTATTTCTGGTTTGGGCATTGGGACCAACTGCTTGTGTCCATCTGTGCATGCTGATGTATATGCTCTGGTAAGCATGGAAGTTAGCAAAAGCAAGTAAAGGGATTTGTACCAATTACAAGCAAGATTTTAAGAGTGATTAATCAAATTTGAATATTTGTCATCAATATTTGTATAAAGGAGTGTTGAGGGGGTTGGAAAGTACTTTTTTTTTCCCTTCTGTTCAAGAAATAACGTCATCCCTTTGTATACGAATGCACTGGATCATGCATTGTGTTTTTTGACAAGGATGTTAATGTGCATTAGGGTGCTCTTGTTCTATCAAGGCTTTGTTTGAAGAGGGGTCTGAAAACCTCAGTTTAGAATTGGGATGAAGTACTAGTAAACCATGTATTTAATGTTTTAGAAATGACATATTGCAAACATTTTTCAACCACTTTATAAATTATATTGACAAAACAATCAGTTTTCCTCTCCAGCTCTGTTCTCAAGATGGCCTTACTAAGAAGGGGACTGTAAGTCATGCATCTGTTGGCAAGTATTTTGATTCCTGCATTCTAAGACACTTTTACTTCAAGATCATGTTGAGCTGTGTTAATGTAGAAATTGGCTTTAAGGTTGTATCAGGAGTAGGTAGAGAAACCCACTTGTTTCTGAGCTGAAAACAACTTCCACTTTAGGGGGCTTTTTGGTAAGGTAGGTTTAGAAATAAATATCAGGGTAGAGGCTGTCATCTTCATGAGTTTTGAAGGAATCCCTCTGCACGGGACTTTATGTAATTTGAGACTATCAGAAGCAGCACAAAACACTACTTTTGATGTTACATGATTTTCTTTGAGCTAGTAACTGTTAGAGTAGCTGAAAAGAGTTACTCTATGTAATGTTATTTATTTCATCAGAATGAAAAACATTGGTGCCTCATACTGATCCATGTAAATCAGCTGCAGAGCTGTGGTCCTAGATTATATTCTTTTTAAGTTCCAAAGAGGAAGAAATGTATGTCTGCAGACGATGTTTCTAATATACTTTTCTTCTAATTTCAGGTGAGAGGTTACATCCGTGGAACACAAACAGTACTTCTTGAGCCAAAGTTTAATGACTGTAGTTGCTGTGACTGCTACAGCTTGCTGACTGTCTAAAGATGAAATCTATTAAGACCCAAGCAACTGGTAAAATTTTGAAATTAAGGAATCTTCTGTTTAAAATAGCTTTATTGCATGACTGGAGGGAGTAAAGGGAATGCTTTTTCTATGATCAATATTTTACACTGCAAATGCTGTCTGTAGCTAGTCTATCTTGTCTTTACTAAAGTGACACTCTTTCTACATCAACTCTGAAGATGCCTGCACTGTGGGATGAGGTAGTAGGTTGTATAGTTTTAGGGTCATACCCACAACTGGGAGATAACTATACAATCTACTGTCTTTCCTAAAGCAGCAGAAAATCAACAATGGATACTTTTCAATTTCAAGGTCAATGACAGATTCTACTGAACTTCTGTACTTGTAATGTTTATTATAGGAGAAAATACTTATTTAACAGATGGGTAATTGTGTTCAGCTCTTTCTAATTGTTGAAAAGCTAGATTATCATTCTATATTAATTTTTTTCTTCAAACAAGTAAAAAATTAAGAATGGATTGATTCTTATATGTATGTAGTGGGGTAATTGAATACAAATTATTTTCTTATTGTTGTGTAGTTTAACATTGCTAACTGAAGTATCAAGTATCCTTCAGAATGAAACTATGGTTAGCTACTTAAGCTCTTTCCTGAAATATATGCTTCTCTGTCAGAGTGAGGTAGTAGATTGTATAGTTGTAGGGTAGTTATTTTACCCTGTTCAGGAGATAACTATACAATCTATTGCCTTCCCTGAGGAGTAAAACAAACTGCGGTCCTTTGCAGTCATTCCTGTCTGCATTGAGTAAAAACAGATCTGTCAGATTAATCAGTGACAGAATTTGCAGGATTAACAATCACTGTGAATGATGTAACCCTGAAATGATATATTTGACTAATACGACATTTCTTCCAAGGTGAGCGTCACTGTGCTGGCTGAATATTGAAAACACATATGTTCTTAGATACAGAGTGGAATACTCTGTAGAGTGTAAATTATTATAAAACAATTTGGGTTTGAATGTAAATATACAGGTAGCTCAGACTTTTACATTGTGACTTAAACTGTTTTGAGACCTCAATTTCTATAATGCATTAAAATTCTGTGATTCCCAACTGCTTAGTTAAAGTTGGAGGGAAAACTTAGTTATACTTTATTAATAAATTCTGCTAATGACTCTTCTAGCACTTTAACAATGTAATACAAAATTAAAATGTTGAATGGCCAAAACTGACCCCTCACCTTTTTGGGGGAGTGTAAAGCTATGAAGTTTGAGCATTCAAGATCCAGAACTGTAATTTGTCTCAGAGATGATTATTTAAAAAAAAAAAAAAAGACATTGTAAGATTACTGCATTCTTTTTCCTCCTAACATCCTAGGTTTACCCAGTCTAGCTGCTTCTGCACTAGCAT